ATAAATTTCTTAGTATAGTTTAATCTCAATAAAAAGTGGCAGAACAGCCGAATTAAAAAAAAAAAATTTAGACTATTAAATATTTTTAACATTATATTTATGGAATGAGATTTATTCTAATTACTGATCACAAAGCACTATAATAGTTATTAAATCCATTTATAATTAATGACAATAAAAAAATTATTTGATAGCCACAAAAATATCAATATGATATTAAGTAGTATGCTAATAGTTAAAATAAAATGCCAACATCTTCTTACACCTATCTAAATATCTAAATCCTAATAATATATGAATAATAATATATAAATCTTTATAACTATTTATCTTATCTCAAACACTCACTAGACATTTCTAATACAAAAAGATCTTATCTATAAAAAGAAGCTAATAATTATTTAATAATAAAAGAAAAATTATATTGTCAAAATAAAAATAATCTAATCAACTCTTTCTAACGATCCTCTGATCAACAACAACAAAAACTGAACTACAGCAAAACATATAGAAAAGCGACGAAGTGGATACTAAAACTTGGTTTTATAAATAGGAGCAGCTTGTTGTCAATGAAGTCTAAGCTGTCTAGGCATGAAATATCAAGAAGCGGGTGCCAAAAGAATGGACAGTTTTTTTTGAGATCAAGTTTTTTTTCTGGCAGACTCTCCAAAGTATTTGGCATCCAAACCAGAAGATTTATTCTGAGAACAAGTTAGTAAAAGTAGCCAAAAGTGCACTCCTAAGTGATAAAAATAGAGAAGCTGGACTATACAACTGTAAAACTTACAAAAAGAATCTTACATACTCTTATTGGTTCACCACTTTTTTTCGAAGAAATTTTTGTAAAAAGTGGGTGTTTCAGCTTACCCTCTCTAAATGATCGACATCACATATACCAAACAAGTCGGCATTGTTTATCTCCCAAATTGGAACGTAACAACAAACATATATATACATGTGCCTCGAATACAATGGATATCTGTACAAACGATGCTCTGAGACTCTGTTCTGACTTCTCTACCTTAAGCCGATCGATGAAGTTTTTCCTATTAGATTTTTACTTTCGCATACTAGTTTAGAGAAAAATAGAAGTAGAAACTAATTTGTCTAGTCAGTATGTAATTTTCCAAGCCACCTACAGGCTTATAATTGTGGCATTAAGATTAGCAAAATTTTGTTTTGTTTTTGTTTTTTTTTTGATATTTCTTTACCTCCTTTTTTTTCATATTTTGTATTCTTTTACTGTAGTTCCCTATACCTTTGTGTTTTTTTTTTAGTTTCTTTGTTTTATTTTCTGATTTTGCTTCTTGATGAGCAGGTAGCCGCCAGCCGATAAACAACAAGAAAAAAGTTCTTAGTAAGTTAAGGACTCTGAGGGAGGCCAAGAGCTATTGAGGCAGATCATGGCTAGTATATAAAATTACATGGATAAGTTTTTCGTTTAGTTGGATCTATTTAGTTAGAGATAAATTACTTGTAATTTTGAATAACTTGATCCCAAATAAACAAGAGCAGAATAGCTGAATAAGAAAAAATAAAAATAAAAATAATCTCCTTAGAGTAATTAAACATCATTAAAAATATACAATATTATATTTACTATATGATAAATAAGAAGTATATCTTAGTATTGGATCAATTTGCTGCTTGGGTACAACAACTCATCATATAATAGTAATTATTTTTTTATATTAAATAAAATAAACTTTTTTTTTCTTCAACAATCTTGTTTATTTTATTATAAGAACAGACTTTCATTCTTACATCGGCATATGAAGAAATCTAAATCTATAATGTTCCAACCAAAAGATAAACTCACTCGCAGCATACTTTGCAGATATTGAAACATCTACTTGCAGTCAGAGTGAACTATTAAACTGCTTTGTTTTGCCCAGATGCAATCTGCCTAGCAAATAATTGGTCTCCTCCAAAAATTAGAAACTTATTTTAGACTTATTTTCTTCAGATTTCTAGGTTAGCTGTTGCGCCACCCTATCAAGATTTCTGTTCTGAAATAGAATACTGCCAAACTGTTGACACTTTCTTATAAAGAAGAAAAAAAGAAAAAATAAGGATAATAGAAAATAAAAAAAGATGTATATAATAAAAACTAATATATAGGTTTAGATTGCAGAAAACTCCTATAACTCTTGAGTTAGCAAGAGCTCTGTTTGAGTCTCTAGTCTTAGTATCTTATAAATTTAAAGTTCAAATAATGTAATTTCTTTATTTAATTATTTGTAAAGAAGTTTAATTAGATTTTAATAAAGATAGAGACATGGTCTCACCTTTGAAAATTAAAAAAAAAATAAAAATAAAAACCAATACATCAAAAAAATAGATACTAATACTAAGGAATATAAACAACTAAACTTCAATCTAAAAAAGAAACTATTGCTAAAAAGAAGAAAATCTGTTAACTAGACGAAAACTTCTAATTATACAGAATATTAATTTACTATTAAGTACGAAAGTTTTAACAAAAAAATATAACTAAAACAAGATGCATTATTATTTTTTTTTTTATTAACTAGCCTCTTTGGCATAGGGGTTTTTATTTAAGTATAATAGGCAGGGAGCTTACAATAGAACCCCAATTACATTAGAGAGTACAACTAGCCATATGTGTGCCTTTTAAGCACCTATTTAAGTAGTCTATATATATATATACACCATAGGTTCTACACTAGCTGCCATATCTATAACCCAACTAGAAGATTACCTATTTAAACCCTCTATAATGTACACTGCCCCTTTGTGTCACTAGAATACTCTGTTATATTTGTCAGTCAAGAGTTCCAGATGCGTACCGTAGCCTTAAGACTAATTTATCATCAAGGCATTGTTGTTAGAGCTTTCCATACCCACAATCTGGCTAACCTAGACTTTCAGTAACTTATGCCAAGTCTGAAAATGAGTACTTGCGAGCCGAAACTGCTATTATTACTTACTACTGCCCTTGTAGAGTTCACCCAAACCTCAGCATCCACTTTACAGACCGTCTACCATTTCACTAGTCCTCAAACTCTTAATCCAGATAGCCTGGAAGGGCAGACCCCTTTCTCAGAATACACTGATGGCCTGGTTAGTATGATGCCTTGCCAAACACCTCGGTCCCGTTTAGTTTCTGAATTTTTAGTGATAATCCTTTATGTAGTGCCATTGAAGATCTGTGCTACTTCTCTATTTTGAACTTGCCAAGTGAGCTTCCATGTGCCTAATACCTAGATTTACACAGCTGTTTCACCTAGTTTATATAACTTATATATCACACTACAGTTCCACAGCTTTCCAATAACTCCTAGTACAACCAAGTTTACAGATCCGCTAATCTATTAGATTATATACAGTCTGCTATAACACATTCTGTAAATTCGAATTTCATTACCAGTGGAATTCGAACTCTTGTTCTGCCGCTTGGAGGTGTGACAATTTAATCACTTCACTAAGTTGTTACACCCTTAACAAGATGCATTATAACTTGTGCCAAAGACTAAAAATTATATACAAGGGACATATTATATATCTCAAAACACTTTGCTTAACTTTTCTTATTAAATCCATATCTTCATCTGAAAGTATAAAGACTTTAAAAACTTTATATGAACTTGTTGTTATCATTTCATTCATTTTGTAATACATGCCGATTTGTCATCATCTAGTTTCCTGATATGAAAATGGTAAACAATGCCAATCTTTTAGAAGAGTAAGCCAAATTTCCCACTTTTTGTTAAAAATTTTGGAACCAAAAATAGCAAAGAAATATCAAATTTTTGTGAGTTTTCTAACCAAAAAGTGTTGTTCCAAAAGTTCTTCAAAGTCTCCCATCTTCAAACAAACTTTAGTTTTCTTTTCTGCTTGCTGTTCCTAGAGACTCCTTCAGTTTAGATGCCAAACACAAAGGGGAGTTTACCCAAGAAATAGCAGAAAAACCAGGCTTGACCCCTTTGCAAACTGTCCAAAATGTCTGCTTCTTGGTGTTTTACATTTAAAGACATTGTTGACAACAGTTCATATCAAAAAACTTCAAGTTGTTGTCGACTTCTAGGCTTGAATCTTCAACTTGCTTTTGGTGTTAGGTTGGTACAAATGATTGTTGAGAAGTGTGATCTCCTCAATTTGAATAAAATAAACTTTGATATATTTAAAATTTATTAATATATATTGATTTCTTAATATACAAAGCATAAATAATAGTTGTTATAAAATTTAATCAAAATGAAACAAGAACCCTCTTTTGTTTATCTTTTATAAAATCTATATGTACTTGTTTATTAATAATCTTAGTTCTAAACCTTAACTCTAATGCTAAAAAAAACCTTCAAAAATATTCTCTAAAAAAATTTATTTTTCTTTAAAACATAAAAAATTTTATTTTAATCAAATTTCATTTTACAGTATATAATTAAATTTTATTTTAATTTGTTACAATAATTATTATTGACAATTATTTATTTTTTTAACAATATTTCAGTAATTACATATCTATTTTTTTTATTCTTTTCGTTTCTTAACTATTTAGTTTTCTTTGACATTTCTTTATTTGGAATTATCTTTCTGACTTTGAGTAACTACTATATATCAATATAGTATAAATTTCGAGTCCTGGGGCTGGAGAATGAAACAATATATGAATAACTTGGTTTTACGGGATTAGGCAGATGTTTATATTAAAATCGCGATAATTGTAATTAAGTTGACCAATCAAAATGCTCTATGCTTGTTAACGTTAACGTTAATACCAATCTTAAATCTTTTTTTCACTGCGGAACTCAATTTATCCTTAGTTTGAGTAATTAGAATTTTGCGACTTTTTTTGAACTTACATAACAGTTTCGCAACAAAATGATTAGACATTTCGAAAGTAAATCTGAAATTATATGCATATATATATTCTGCAATTGATTAAGATAAAGCCTAACAAATTCAATTTTTTTTAAATCAAGTTTTTACTGCGGAACGACGCCTCGTCCAAACATCTCCACTTTCACACTTGAGAGATGTTCGCCTTGGAATCGAAGGTGCACATTGGCTTCGTAAAATTTTACAGGGTTCTGCGAAAGAGCCTGCGACCGCTGCTCTAGGTGGTATACCGATCGGGCTTAAAGCTGCAATAGAAAAAGAACTAGAACTTATGAGGTTATATAATCAATACATATATATTCAATTAATAGGTTTAATTCATATAAAATTTATAAAAAATGTTTAATATATTAGATCATATGGAATTACTCCAGTTTTTGTATTTAATGGTCTCAGCGTTATTCGCAAAGACAAACCATTTTCAGTAGAGGATACAAGACCAGGAAGACGATCTCAAGCCTGGGACATGTATGAGAAAGGTCGAATTGATTCTGCTTATAGTCAGTGGGCAAGCTCTGGATCTATCCATCAACCGGATTTATTGTATTTCGTATTCAGCGTCTTCAAAGAAAATGATGTGGAATTTATTCGAGCACCTTACTCTGCTTGGGGACAGGTATTGTTACATTACGATTACTCAAATTGATGATTCCTATTTTGTTTCCTTTGATCAAGTGTGCAACGACGGAATTTATTGTATAATCTATTTCATTAAAAGTGTTGCAGCATTTAATATTTATATAGTAATCTTGTTTCCTATTGCATTTTAACAATGCGAAATTACTTTCGTCTAGTATTCCAAGATCGTTCATAAGAAACACATAACTTACGTTGACTCTATCTTTTATGCCAAATCACTGTGATTATACAAGCTGATATATCTAGAGCGTCATCCCAAAACATATGTCCATGCCCTTTACGGTGGCTCAGAGCTATTAATGTATAACGTCGATAAAGTCATTGTCAATATGGATTTGGAGGTTTGTTTTTTTATTTTTATTTCATACAAAAACTGATAAAAAATCATACTAAATGCCGTAGTGTTAACTT